ACAGCATTTCCATGAGAATCTTCATCACTGACATTTTGTGCAATGGAATCATGATATTGTAAGTGCCGCTTGTAGCTATAACCATGATAAAATGTTTTAAAACATTCTTGCACATGACACACAAGTTTTGTTCTGGTCTTCGTATTGATGTTATGGATCTTTAAATGGTTCCATAGATCCCCACTTTTTTCAAATGATTTCACACATTTGCAACACGAAAACATTTTCTTTCCAGGAATATCTTATGGCTGCTTACTAACCTTTCTCTTCCAGTTATCAAAACGGTCAATGAATTTAAGTCTTGGACCCAACTGCGGGATCACGTCCTTCACAAGACTTGCATCAAGCAGCTTGAATGCTGATGAGTCAATGCCACAATCTAAATGGAAAGAAAAAGATATGGTAAATTCCACTTTTTGTAAAAAATTATCAATTATCAATACAACGATGATTAACTAGGTGTGATTCAATCCATACAGAATACATGACAATCGCATTTTTACTTCAGTCATTTCTATCTAGGGTCTATATCTAAGTTAGATGTAGACCCCTCGGCTCTATACATTGTAGGATCTAGCTTTCTTCTTAATGATTCGAGTCAAATAAAAAACAAAAACAAAAAACACCTGTAGGAAAAAAAATAAATAAAGAGGATTTATCTTTGTTATATTTTGTTTGGTATAAACAATTCTCCCTATCTCATATCATTTCGGGCAAACTCAGAATTCGGAAGTCTTCCGATTTCGGCAGTCTTTTAATTATCATACATACATGTAGAGTCTAGGCCTAGACTCTAAGTTAGAGTCTAGTCAGTAGCCTAGAATCTAGATCAGATGGAGTAAATATATAAATGCTATACAATGTTGATTCAAGATCAAAGAAAAAGCTGTACTGCTGTAGACCTAGTTTTAACTTAGACACAGCATGCACAGACCAAAATCAGGTACCAGCTAGGAGACAGGACCGCACGCGACCACGGCCGGCTCAGCCCGGGGCTGCGCCACCCAGTACAACGGCTGGGCGTTCGAGCTGCAATACCCAGTGCCCGATCAGACAGTACCAAAAAAAAAAATCATGTTGAAGAATTAGAAAGAAATATATACTCTGGTCTACTGGTAATGCATACTTACTTCTAAAATTGACGATTTGGTCGGTCAGCTCCCATTTCCTCAACAACGAAGCAACTTTGTCGTCCGCCATTTCACCGCTGTGTACTCAGGTTGGTTGGTGTACTAATACTAGATCTATATAGGGCCAGGGCCTTTAGTATATACCGTATGCATGTATTATGCACACATGTTTTTTATCCTATGCGGCCGCGTGCTGTGCAGGGCTTTTCGTGGAGGCAGTGTAAATCTGGGAGTGCAATTTACTCAGAGTTAAGTAAAATTTAATGCCACTGGAGCAAACTTTACTCATCAAGAATGAGCAAAACTAAAAATAGACAAAAATTGGAGCAAACTTTACTCAACAAGAATGAGCAAAACTTAAAAAGGAAAAAAAAAGAGTAAATAGTCAGAGTTTGCTCAATATAGGAGACTTGTACGTTGTAAAAAGTACATTATTGCTCATTATACAACACCTACGTGGATCCTTGTCATTTGATTGGACAATTGTTGGTCACATGATATTCAATAGATGGTATATTGCACGGTCGTGCATTTTTGGTTATATGCGCCGTGCATTTTTGGTTATATGCAGACTGCGTACCTCTCTGCTGCATGTGCGCGCGCGTATCCCTGCGTGTATCTGACGCGAAGGCAATCTGCATGTAATTGAGAAGGCTTGACTCGAACTGTAATTTATCTTTATAAGGAGTAAAGCATAATTTGTTGATTAACGTTCTATTAGGTCTTCTTCGATGTTGTATAAAACAAATAATGAATGTTTTTCATTCGTTTAATAGTGCAAATATGTTCATTCGTTGAAAGATTAACGTTAATTCTATTCAACTCGGCTGACGCCTCGTTGAATAGAATGTTAATCTTTCAACTCATGAACATATTCGCACTATTGAACTCATAACCATTCATTATTTGTATAATATTGAGCACTCTTGTGTTTACCTCGGCGATATTTTACCCCATGGATTTAGAGTGTATGCTCTCTTGGAATTTTCTTTATTGTATGTTACTTGTACCATCTAAATACTTAAAAGAAAAAAAAACATTTCGCTGACATATTCCCCTCTTTTCACCATTGATCTTTTTAAACCCAGTCTTAAGCATTTTAATTTTCTTTTTAATGGACTCTCGTTTTAGTTATTGCACAGCTCGGTAATTGCACAGTAATTGTAATGATGTATACGTATTGTTGTTATTGTACATATGCCCTTTTTTGCAATATTTACTGATAATAGTTTAGTTATTAGATATTTTAAGTTATGTAACTTATGTATTCATTCATTACTGCTATTTTATCATGTATATTTGATTTAAATTTTATTTTGTACCCAAGACAGTTGTCAGTATTTGGACTGTTTGCTCTTGGGTTTTAATTTTTTGATTTCAATAAAATCCTATATATATATATATATATATATATATATATATATATAATTTCTGGGACATAAGGGGTGAATGTTCAGAGCACTTTTATTTCATCTATTTCATGCATTCTTTGCATTCTCGAGCTTCGATTTTTAATGCCAGTTTTTTAATTTTACATGTCAGTTTTGCTATTCCTATTATTATTATTATTAATATTATTATTATTATTATTATTATTGTTGTTGTATTTTCTTTGTATCCTCGAATGTATTTATATATCGTTTATGTTGTTTGTATATGTCACTCGCCAGTGGAGGACGAATTTCTGTATTTTGTAAATCAGACAATAAATTATCTTGAATTATCAGGAATTACCCTGGCTTTAGCCAATTAGCTGCCCTCATGCGCTGAAAGCATTCGAATAATATATTCCTACCAGGTATCCATTTTCTACTCCTGGTTGGATAGTGGCAATTGTTGATTAATGTCTAGCCAAAAGACGCGGCGGGACTGGAACTGCGAATCATGTGATCTAAAAGACGATATTTCTTTCATTTGATTTTATTTCTGCATTTTTCCAAATACAATAACTGAACAACAAAGAACATATTAACGTAAGGTATAATACAAAATATACAAACAATAATAACTTCGTGTCAAAACGTTTACATAAATACATACAATAACGATCTTGATATTTCTATAACACATTTCATACATTTAACCCTAAAAAGGCCGGGCTATTTGAGGTCTTAGTACGGCCGGGGGGGGGCATTATGGCCCCCCCCCTGAAGATCTCGGCCGCAAAGCGGCCGATCGCCGCGAAAATTTGCACGCATGTCAAGTGAAGTGTATAGAATAATATGATAATTTCAATTTTTTGAAAAATTCACTCATTTGCATATTTATGGTAATTTATGCAAATAAAGTCATAAAAATCACATTTTTACCCATAAATCATATATTATTCATATTTAAAGGTAAAGACCAGTTATGGTCATGCGATTGCATTGTGAAAGAAACGTTGTGGAATCGATCAGAAAAGGTTGATCATCTAGCATCTAGCATCTGCAAGGTTCTGGAATCATCAACATGATAAGAAATTTGGCCCATTCTTCGTAAAGTTACATGCACTATACACAGAAAGATGTATATGGGACTACCCTATATATCTCACAGACCATGAGAGAAATGAATTTACCAAATATATGAATTAGTAGGCGGTTTCCCGGCAAATTTGTTATCATCATGTATTAGTCAAAACATATTCTTTCACATGATTGGTAATGAGAGCTTCCATTTCATTTTTTGAAATTGGGGCGTTTCCAATACTGGTCTTTACCTTTAAGCATTCTTTTTCAATAAATGTATTCATTAGACCATTCTGAATAATAATACGACAAAAAATTGGAAGAGCAAGCTTATTCCTTATGTTATCCCTTGTTTTGATAATTTCTTATGTATTTCATTGTTTTTTTAACTTAAGTATTTCATTGTTTTGTTGTTTTATTTCATTTCTTACTACAATTCAACTATTTTGACTCCAAAAACAACCACCTAAACTTCAAACAAGACCTAATAACCCATGTTTGATCTGTTTTTAGGAAAAATGACATTTCCATATGTTTTGTACACAAATCACGAAAATGAGCGATTTTCGGGCTGACATGCAAAGACAAAAGGTCACGTGACCTTGTAACCGTAGGTCCGATTTTCAAAAAAATTCTTTTAAAAGTTGCGCAAGACTCAAAAGAAAAAAGTCAACGAGCGGCGGGGCGCCATTCATATGCGTTCCCGAGCAATCAGAAAACTCGTGGAGGGGGGGGGGGCATAATGGCCCCCCTGGCCTTATTAGGGTTAAAGTATTATCCGAACTATCTGTGGAATAAAGTGCAGGAGACCGCTACCACCAGCGATGCTTGACTAGGATAGCGACCTCGAAAGAAAAATCTTCAGGGGAAATTTACAATTTAATTTTTTGTTTGTTTTACTATCTCCATTAAGATACATGTACTTTGCATGTTGTCGCTTAGACCTATATCACGTAATAGTCATAATTTCCAAGATTTGGGAGCGACAACAAAAATTGAATCTTACTTGTCCTGTCAGTGGAGTTGCGAGGGATCAGTTAAGGGAGGGGGGGGGGGGGGGGGTTGGACTAGGTGGATGAAATTGGATAAAATAAAACCATGATGATATTGAAGGGGGCATATAAATTTATTTACACGTTGCCCTCCTCTCCCTTTCTCTCTTTCCTGTTCATGTATTTAACTATTCAATGGGGGTATACGGCCACTGTGTCGTTATAATTGTTTGGAATTATTGTTCCACTTTGTTTAAAAGATACATGTGGCAGATATGGTGATGCACCGCTCATGACTTCTCGTGTATATTTAAAAGGAACAATAGATCAACTTCTCAACTGTGATGAAGGAAAGATACCAACAGTGTACCCAAAAATAAATTTGAATACATTTGTTGAGAAAATTTATCTACTGAACGGATTCTTACCATTCGCATGTGTGCCGATAGCTTCACTTGTTGGTTTTCTTCGTCCTGTCAAAAAAAGGTGAAAGGAAAATGATTACACAATTATATGCTCTCGAGCGAAAACGGTGCTTTTTCAATTCGTTTTCAGTGGCTACCTGCCGTAGCAACAAACGGAATTAACAAAAGACTTAACTCCGTTTCGTTGACAATCATACGTAGACGAAAGACTTCATGCATGGCTAATTGTCAACGAAACGGAGATAAGTCTTTTGTCGATTCTGTTTGTTGCTACAGCAGGCAGCCAGGGAAAACGCATTCGTTTGATAAAATTATGGAAATGCAAGCACTAGTTTAAACAAACAGAACTTTGTTATTCCTAGCTCATATTTCCTGACTGAGGTATTATGAAAGGGCAGAAACTCAGCTTTCTAGAAATGTGATCTTCTCTTTGAAATTCAGATACCGCCCGCCAAATAACTTTTTGGTTTCCTCTCTTCAAAATTCATTTTAATCACCCATGCGTGAAATATGCATCATTAAGAGTTATGTCAAATAAAAGAAGAGGATCTAAGCTTTTTAAATATGTGTCATTTATCGATTATAAATGTGGCTAAGTTATGATAAAACATCGATAATTCTCGGTTTTCATTTTTCTGTTTTTTCTGTCCATTATCGACTGTATATGGAAATGTGATTATAAGCATCAATTTGTAGAACGACTCCAATATTCTAATAACCTTTCAAAATTTATGTTCGATAATAGCCTCAATGATAAACTTATTAATGGTGGTTTAATAGTGAGTTGATGCTTATTAACTTTACTTACGAACTTGATGAGCTCAGCCGGAAGGAGTCTGAAGGACACATTCGTAGATCGTCTGACGTCACGCACAGGTCTGACTGTGATTGGTCCATAGTTATCTAAGAGTTGCTTTAGCAGAACGCTCTGAGTATTATTGTTTCTTCCCAAAGCTGCTGAGGACAATCAAATATATACAAATATATATATAGACATGATATTTCAATATGATCATCATCATCATCTGAATTTTCGTGTATCATCATTAATAGTATTCTTTTTCTAATCATTACGACTACTATCATTACTACTACTGCTATTACTATAATTAATTGATCTAGCTTGTTATTGTTTTTAACAATCTTCGTTTGCGTTCAGTTTGATGAGGATGTATCTATTTTAAGTGATGGCAGCCAAGTTATAGAGGCAAGATGACATTGGATCTCTAAGATTCGGATTTGTAGTTGAAACGCTCTCCCCCAACCCCCCCCCCCCCCCCCCCCCGAAGTAGGCCCTTTTATGGATGAACGATACTTGGGGCCTCCCTTTTGGAGCGTTTGGAGAGCTGATTGGACTCCCTCCCCCATAATAGACGGATTAAAAAATAGGGATAGCGGAACCGTGCCCATTCTGACACCCCGGGTTGGACTCTTAAAGGTATTATGTCCCATTTGCAGGCCAAAACATAAAAAGGTTAAAATTCCAACGACATTTGAAAGATAATTCTAATTTAGAACTTCCCTAAAAAAGGGGGGCTTGAACATGTCTTTAAGTGAGAAAATAACGACTATTAGTTGTCGAATCGGCTTAAGAGCTATAGAGCCAGTAAGTAATAGTGTGATTTTCAGACCATTGTGCCGAACGGTCGTAAGTTTTATGCTGCGCAAAGATTCAATCAGTTTATTGATGTAGACATAATTGCTCATATATCCTTTACAGCTCATTTTATGTATGTATTTACCAACAAAGAAAAAAGCCAAACAGTCACTCAATAGTGTTAGACAGTAAAGTTTAGCAAGTAAACGGGTTTCCTTGCATAATTTGAATATTAGGACACTGGTAACGTTTAACTTTTACAGATAGGACATACATGACATATTCATAATTCCTCCAAAGTTCTATAGAATTTGATGTTGGCTGCAAAAGGGACATAGTATCTTTAATGTCATATCATAAATATCATTTAAACGTCTCTCTCTATCTATCTATCTCTCTGTCTCTCTCTGTCTCTCTCTGTCTGTCTCTCTCTGTCTCTCTCTCTGTCTCTCTCTCTTTCTCTCTCTCTTATTCATTTGTTAATATTATCACATGTTTATCATTGTTCATATTATCACATGTTTGTCTTTGTTCATATTAACACATGTTTATCATTGTTATACTATTGTTATATTGATACTATGTTGTAAATATGTTTGTACTCCCATGCCCCGAGAGGGGGTCGATAGAGTCAATAAAATCTTATAATTTTACTACTACTGCTATTAAAACAACTGCTACCACTATTACTAATGATAATAATACTAATACTACTATTGCTGCTGCTACTACTACTTCTACTACTACTACCACTACTACTACTACTACTAATATTATTATTACTACTACTACTACTACACTACTACTTCTACAATGATTACTGCTTCAACAATATTTGTCGCTCTTATTTGCTGTCGAATAAAACTATTTTAACCATTTATTCTAAAATATATGATTGCCGCAATGTCTCTTTCCCTCAACCATCTATGACACAAACCTCGTTACAGAAATCCTAAGGGTCGACAAAATGACCATTAATATTGATACCAACGCCCAAACAAAAAGCTTCACTTTTTTATCTAATATTCGAGGTCTCAAATCCGTCTCTACATTATTGGTGGTGTTGAATTAAGCAGGTTACGTATACGGTATGGTAGTATATTGAGGGATCGGCTATTGAGGTGGTAGTCTTTGGCGCGGAAGGGGGGGGGGGGGCTGGGGGAGGCACCGTTCTTTCTCTATTTCTGGCTGAAGTATGGGTGAATATAACCTTGGGCGTATCATCTTTTCACGTTGCCCCTCTGTCCCTCTCTCTCTCTACTTCTCTTTCTTAATTTTTCTATTTCTTTCTTTTTTTCCCTTTTTTGCTTTTCGATGGCGACGGAACCCGATTCGCCCGGAAGCATCTCCTTTTCAAATTGCCTCCCTATTTCCTTTTCTACCTCCTCCCACAACTCAATCTCTCTCTCTCTCTCTCTCTTTCTTTCTCCCTGCCTCTCTCTATCTTGCTCTCTCTCGCCCTCTCTATGTATTTCTCTATCTTTATCTTTTCCCTTCCTTTTTTTGTTTAATGGGGGAGGTGGGCCCCTGTGTTCCCTATATCTACGCCACGGTTTACCTATAAAGGAACCAGGTTAATTACTAAGAACGCATTAGCTATTTCAGTTAAAGCAAACACATTAACAACGTTGACGCGTATAATCGCCAATGACAACACTGTAAAAATGTGGGCGTTTGTTTACTGACATGTTTTTGTCCAAAAAATCAAAACACATGCACTATAAACAAAAATATGTTTTTTTAGGTTTTTTAAAACGCAGGTAAATTAGCACTCATTGTTAAAACAATCAGTGCATCCGCTCGTTAACAAACAGTTTTGTCTCTTACTGTTAGATATTGAATGGTTTTATCCGTTGTGAAATTGATCAAGATAAGTAAGCGTTTATAGACACGCGGCTGCTAACAGTTTACAAGCTCTAGATTCATAAACAATCGTTTGAACACAAGCACATACAAATAGGTCAAAATTTAGGGTGACAGATTATATCGTCAAATGTCAATTTCCAATTGGGCTTTAACATCAACTACGCGTCAATTCATCAAGGAATTTGTAGGCTTATTGCTTTAATGTTAAATTTTTCACTATATTTTGCTTATCTGGGTCATTTTCATCATCCACTTTCCTTTAGCCTTGTAGTTGCTATGGAAAATGATTGGCAAATTTCGTTGAGAGGATTTGTAACACTTCCAAACTAATGAAATTCTAAATCATGTCAATCATTAATCATCTAGCTATACCATAACCAGAACAGCGTATGCATTCAGCCGCTTATTTTTGTTTGATTAAATTGAATTTAAAATGTCACACGATAGTAAAAAGAGGAATGATGAATTTGAAGCTCCAGCTATCAAATTTGTAAACCTTCCAGAAAATGACAAGAAAAATTGAAATTGTATTATAATGGTGATTTTTTTTTTCTAGTAGAAATTATATTTTAACCTTCCTATCTTTCCTTTTCTCCCCTCCTCGGGAATGTGAGATTCTCTGTTTTAAAACAATCATTCGCAGATATGTGTTGCATACTTCTTTTTCTCCCCCAATTTCTCTTTGAAATTCATCATGATATGCCACATTTAAAAGGACAATCCAACCCCTTGTAATAAGACAGTTATGAATGTTCGAAATATGAGATCACTACAGCTGTGCGAATCCTAAATTGACAGTTTGGTCACTGGATATGTAACGTAGTTGTCACAAGGATTGTGGTTGTCTAAGTGGCGATACACACATATAAAAACAATCAATGAAAGAATGAGTTGTAATATGATAGTGTGGATTTTAATTACACAATACAACGAGATGCAACATAAATTCAAGATATTGAGCGTTGACAAATCCAAAATATATCAGCTTATAACTTCCTAAGAGGGTCAATTAAATTAAGGCTGCCATTATACTAAACCGGTGTTTGTTCAAAGGATAACGCGTTAAAAACGTTGGAGTTCGTGACAAAGCCCACCGCGTCAGACGATTGTGTGCGCGAAAATGTCCACCGCGTTAGATGCACGTAGAATCATGTAGAATGAGAATTGCGTCGAAGGGCTCGATGGCTCGTGACGAGTTCACCATATTGCAGGGTAGAAGTCAATCCAAATCGGTCTCTTGTACTTCGTAGAGTCGATCAATGGAATGTGGTTGAACACCACCCTAAACGGCTGTAATACAATCAATAAACAATAATAAACATGGTATCCTATCATATTAGTTTGATACAAAAATACATCAACAAATGTTCTTAACATGTAAGGACTTTCTCACAATATAAACATACAATGTTGACTTAAACATCATTAATAGAAATACACAAAATCAGTTAGCTTTAACATATCTAAAGACAGAAACTTCCTTTCCAGTATCTCATACCAGCCTTTGTAAATAATGCTAATAACATTTCACATTATTTCTGGCTTTTAGAAATATGTTTATAACAGAAACAGTTAATGCATTCTGTTTGCATCAAAATTCAAGATGGCTACCTGCGATTTAATATAGTAAAAATGGCTGACTTTCAAAATGGCTGACATTCCGACTTTCCGTGTCTGCCGGAATAAAGGCACTTACAAAAACAATAAATATTTCAAACATGTATTGTGTCGTTTCACATGACACAAATCCCAATTAAATTACTTAAAGACAAATATTCATATGCAACATCTAAAAACATTTCTCCAGGCATCCGTTTACACTATAGGGCATAAAACAGGGTCATAAATGTGAATAAAATGAGAGATATGAGCTTAGAGGTAAAACTTACAGTTATTCTGTAGATTGAAGACCCCGTTGCCTGCCTCCCGGAGGGATCGTGTCCGAAGGACGGTTGTCTGCTCTTTCCGCTCCCAACAGCAGAATGAGAAAGCAGCAATAAAAAAGGGGACCACACTCACTCTGAACAGCGAGCCCAAAAATCCTCCCTTCACTGTCAAACGTACTCCCTCCCCAAGGATGACACAGCAGGTCCTTCTCTACTCGCAACAAAATGGCTTCTGCCCACCACTCTCGCTAACGTATAACATGTACACATTCACACTTTCCCAAACGTAACCCAGTCACATGCGCGCTAGTGTCAAATTTGCATATCTAAATTCCTAGGACGAAGGAACAAAGGAAAAGGAATGCGCGCATCCAGACTTCGCATCTGAATAAGAATTAGAGAGGTCAGAGGGCAAATGGAAAGCTATGCATGAATATTCACCCAGCTAGGAAAACCATTAATCAATGCATTTTATTTTGACAATTACCCCCTTTCTAAGTTTTTTTTTTCTTTCTTAGAAACAAAAATCCGCTCTGTTTTGCCTTAAATAGAGACACAAAATAGAATACTATCTATTACTTTCCTATATTCTGAAAGGAAAACTAACTCATAAATTACTCTAAGATTTACATCTTAATCCATGCGGCTTAAATAATCCGCACCAACATTATCCTTGCCTTTGATGGCCTCTACCCGAAATTGGTAAGGCTGCAAGGCAAGTGACCCCCGGTGGGGTCACTCCCCTGCAAAGAGTGACACGTATGACCGTTACCACCAATGCATATAACCCCCTTTTGCGGTCAATTTCAAGGACATTTTGTGAAATTTAACCCCCTTTTTTACGTCAAAACAAGGACAAAATCCTACTTTGGAATACCCCTATTTATAAGATTGTAAAGACACTTTCGCAAATTTACCCCTATTTTACCATATTTAAAGGACAAGACTCGGCTCCGAGAATTTTTCTTCCCGGTTTTCTCTTTTCCCTTTTCCTGACCCCTATTTATCAATTTCGGGGACACCTGTGCACCCCTATTTTCTTTATTTCGAGGAATATTTTGTCCGCGGACATTGCTTGAAATTGACCCCTTTTTCCGCGATTTTGGTAACGGTCATGCGGTCCGGAAGTCACATTGAGTGACTCCACCGGGCAAGTGACCACCTCAGAACACGTCCGTTAGCCATCTTTCCTTTCTTCATGGATCTAAGTGGCTCGTGATCGACTTCCAATACGAACTCTCTTCCGTATAGATAGGGCTCAAATTTCTGGACCGCCCAAACAACTCCAAGGCATTCTTTCTCGATGGTTGAGTAATTCTTCTCGCGTGGTAGGAGCTTCTTACTTGCGTAAGCCACAGGGAATTTCTTGCCTTCATCCTCTTGCATGAGGACTGCACCGACTCCTGTGTCAGATGCATCCGTTCGTAGGATGAAAGGCTTCTCAACATCCGGGAGATGAAGAATGGGTGCAGCAGAGAGCAAGGACTTCAAAGTCTGAAATGATAGCTCCTGTGCTTCCTCCCACATCACGTCGTTTGACAATCTTTTCTTTGTCTTGTCGGTGAGGGGCACTGCGATGGCAGAGAAATTCGGGACAAACTTCCGATAGTACCCAGCCAGACCCAAAAAGGACCTAAGTTGTTTCTTGGACTGTGGGCGACGTGCATTCACGATAGCATCAATCTTGTCCAAATTCGGCTTCAAACACCCCTTGCTCACCTGATGACCGAGGAACTCGATGGTCTCGAAACCTAGGAAACACTTGCTTGGTTTTGCCTTCAAGTTGGCCTTGCTGAGTAGACGAAGAACTTCCTCAAGTACTTCAAGATGATGTTCCCATGACCTGGTATGTATTAGGATGTCATCTATGAAGTTGACTACACATGGCACTCCTCGAAGAACTGATCTCATTACACGGGAGAATGTTGCTGGAGCATTTACCAGACCGAAAGGCATTGTACAGAATTGGTACAATCCATCAGGAGTCACAAAGGCAGTAAGGGGCTTGGCTTGATTCGTAAGAGGCACTTGCCAATACCCTTTCGTCAAGTCTATCTTTGAGAAGTAGTAATCGTTGGCGAGTTTTGCAAATATCTCATCCTGGTCGGGGATTGGTTCTGCATCTTTAACTGTCACTAGATTCAGCTTTCTGTAGTCACAGCAGAATCTGTTTGAACCGTCTTTCTTGGTAACGATGACTACAGGCGATGCATATGGTGAAGATGACGATTCTATGACGCCTAACTTCAACATCTCTTTGATTTCTTTGTTGACAGTCTCTCTCATAGCATGAGGGAGAGGATAGGGTCTGCTCTTGATCGGCCTAGAGTCAGAAAGTACGATGTCGTGATGTCCGACTTTGGTTACACCGGGGACATCAATCAGAGTATCAGAGTACTTCTTCAGAAGACACTGAAGTTCAACTTTCTGGTCATCATTGAGCTCCGGGTTAATGACAACATCTTTGTGTGTCTGCGTCTGTTTCAGACTAGGACTATGTAGTAGATCCTTCTTGATTGGTTTGTCAGGATTTGGATCATCTGACGGGTCTTCTCCGTCTTCCTCATAGTCATTGACGACGGATGTAGCAGCTATATCCATAGGAGTCGTGGTACTTCCGACGACATCCATATCATTGTCAGACTCCTCGTTAGTCTGTTGGCGTTCATCACCCCTGCGGGGATACTTCTTTAGAAGGTTTGCGTGGAACGTGGTCACACGATGTCCTGTGTCGATGCGGTAGTCAAGCTTACCGACGACACCTACAACCCGAAAAGGTCCTTTCCAATGCATTAGGAGCTTGTTTCGGTCAGTAGGGAGAAGCAACAGTGCTTCATCGCCTACCTTGAACGTCCTAGATCTGGCCTTCCTGTTGTAGTTCTTCCGGTAACGATCATGCGACTTCACGAGCTCCCGTCTTGCTATCTCGCAGGTCTTCTCCATCTTCTCTCTCAGATCAATCAAGTATTGGTATGCGGTCTTGGTCTCTGGCAAAGCCTCATCATTGGACCAAAGCTCTCTCAGGATCATGAGTGGTCCTCTGATGTCTCTTCCATACAGCAACTCAAACGGTGCGAAACCTGTACTGTCCTGTGGAGTTTCTCTGTATGCAAAAAGGAGAGAATCTATGTAACGATCCCAATCACTTGGTCTTTCTTCACACATTTTCTTCAACATGGACTTCAATGTCCCATTGAACCGTTCTACCAGACCATTACACGCTGGATGGTACGGTGTGGTAGTAAGATGGCGGATGGATAGTAATCTGCTCACCTCCTTCATCAATTCAGAAGTGAACTGGGGTCCACGATCTGTAAGCATCTCTCTTGGAAAACCGACTCGGGAAAATACACTAAGTAGAGCCTCAGCGACAGTGGGGGTGTCGATATTCCTTAAGGCTACTGCTTCTGGATATCGCGTTGCGTAGTCCACTATTGTGAGGATGTATCTGTTCCCTTTTGACGTAATGGGTGCAATTGGTCCGACGATGTCAACGGCGATACGCCTGAATGGCTCGTCGATAAGAGGCGTTGAACCAAGAGGCACTTTGGTAACTTTGCCCTTGGGCAGTGAACGCTGACATTCATCACATGAACGGCAGTAGCGTCTAGTATCGGCCTGCACTCCTGGCCAATAGAAGTGAGCACTAATCTTGTCAATTGTCTTCTTCGCACCGAGATGTCCACCTAAAATTGACTCGTGGGCTAGTAATAAGACCTGTCTTCGGTATTTCTCGGGGACAATTAGCTGCAGCGTAGTCTCATCAGGCTCTCTCGTAGAGAATTGTCGATACATCAAGTTGGTTTTCATGATGAACTTTGACTTGTTCCCTGTGAGACTGACTTTCTCGTCACCTGAGGTGATCTTCTCACGAAGTCCGTTAAGTGACGGATCCACTTCCTGTTCTCTGCGAAACTGTTCCGCCGACACACCATCGACTTGGCCAGGAACAATTAGTTTTCGCAAGGGTTTATCAGCTTGCCGGCGCTGTTGTCTCGTCTGAACTGCGAGACCTTCCTCCTTAGAGGACTTCCAATCTGGTTTTGGATCACTCGCGTCTCTGACATTAGCGACGTTACCTAGTATCAAGTCATAGAGGGGATTCTCAACAACTAATACTTCCACCTCACCAGTATAGAATGGGGTGTCCACAAATACAATAGCGACAGGAAATTTCCTCACAGAGCGATCAATCAGGAGGCAATATTTCACCTGGCCAGTGAACTGTTCTTTCCTGATGAGATCTTTCTTCGCAATAACAGTAGAGCATCCACTATCACGTAGCACCTCCACTCGCGTCTCGTTGAGGAGACCTTCCACAACGGGCATGTCCGTAACCAGCTTGGCTCCACAAGCAGCACTAACGGTTGGCAGCTCGTCATTATTCATTTGATCGAATCGAATGAGGAGACAACCCTTCTCAATGTCCCCTTCTATTGGGTCTGATCCTTCGATCTTCTTGCCGGCTGTACCGTCCTTACGCCGTTGATCTGACGAACTTTTCCCTTGGGAGATACCTTGCTCGTCGTCATTCATCTGTACGATGCCAGCAGCCAGCTTCTCCTTCCTGATGCGCTTTGTGCAGTCCCTGTATTTGTGTCCAGGCTTTCCACAGAAGAAGCATAATGGTCTAGGAATTCCTTGCCTTGGCAATCCATCTGTAGGCTTCGAATTACCTGCATTGTTAGTTCGACTTGGATTATACTTGGGAGTAGGAGATGGCTGACTCTGCTGAGACTTACCACTAGTCCATCCTGACCTAGCATCCACATATCGATCAGCAGCTTTCACCAATTCTGCCAATGTTCTTGGCTTCTGTTCCTTTATGAACACAACTAATTCTCTGGGACTACTGGAGTAGAACTGCTCCATAAGTACAACCTGTGCTAAATCTTCGAATGTCTTCGTCAACTCAGAAAGTTCTAACCATTTGTCGAGATAACCCTGTAATCTGTGTACAAATTGTGCGGCTGTCTCCCCACTGTCTGGGCGAGCCGTACGTAGCTTCTTTCTATACCCATCACTAGTCAAAGAATATCGTTTTAGAATTGCTGACTTTAGCACTTGGTAATCCTGTGCATCAAAATCCGACAGTCTAGAATATGTATCTAATGCCTTACCTGAAAGCAGTGCACTTAAATTGATAGCCCAAACACTTTGTGGCCACTGTTGTGCAGTAGCGTACCTTTCAAAACGACCCAGATAAGCATCTAACCTATCCTTATCTTCCGCAAAAACTGGTAGTTTAGGCAACTTAGGGGGTATGACAGTACGCGCAGTTTCCTCATTACTATCTACATTCGCAACTTGGGCTTTAGCAAGTTCCAACTGTAGAGCCACTAATTCACTTTCCTCCTTCGCCCTAGAACGCGATTCAGCGCGCTCCGCTCTAGCGATTTCTTGTTGTTCCTTAATGAAACCCTGCAACTCACTGCCACTGAGGCCTAGCGTCTCTCCAATACGCGAGAGTTTCTCAATCTCCATTTCACATTCACCACTCCGATCACACAATGGACCCAGGGATTTAAAGCTTACCACACACCGGCTAAGAGCGGAAGGGCAGTGACGTATCCAATGGACTCGATCCCGGATAACCGTGCAGCGGCACAAGGAGGGCAGAACAGCGGGACCTCCAACGAAAACGCAGTTCCTAATGACAAACAATGTAAAAATTTAAAGCAGTTAAATTGGTATACCCTTAAATCCTAGTTACTAATTTAGATATAAATCATCAACACATGCTATTCAAGGTTTTAGCAAATTATCAACATAAACATTTCATGTACTCGTTCTAAAGGATATTATCATACAATCCCAATGACAATTAGTATAAATGTCCCTTCGTGGTCGCCAAAAATGTCACAAGGATTGTGGTTGTCTAAGTGGCGATACACACATATAAAAACAATCAATGAAAGAATGAGTTGTAATATGATAGTGTGGATTTTAATTACACAATACAACGAGATGCAACATAAATTCAAGATATTGAGCCTTGACAAATCCAAAATATATCAGCTTATAACTTCCTAAGAGGGTCAATTAAATTAAGGCTGCCATTATACTAAACCGGTGTTTGTTCAAAGGATAACGCGTTAAAAACGTTGGAGTTCGTGACAAAGCCCACCGCGTCAGACGATTGTGTGCGCGAAAATGTCCACCGCGTTAGATGCACGTAGAATCATGTAGAATGAGAATTGCGTCGAAGGGCGTCGCTAACGTATAACATGTACACATTCACACTTTCCCAAACGTAACCCAGTCACATGCGCGCTAGTGTCAAATTTGCATATCTAAATTCCTAGGACGAAGGAACAAAGGAAAAGGAATGCGCGCATCCAGACTTCGCATCTGAATAAGAATTAGAGAGGTCAGAGGGCAAATGGAAAGCTATGCATGAATATTCACCCAGCTAGGAAAACCATTAATCAATGCATTTTATTTTTATGTGTTGCATACTTCTTTTTCTCCCCCAATTTCTCTTTGAAATTCATCATGATATGCCACATTTAAAAGGACAATCCAACCCCTTGTAATAAGACAGTTATGAATGTTCGAAATATGAGATCACTACAGCTGTGCGAATCCTAAATTGACAGTTTGGTCACCCCTTGTAATAAGACAGTTATGAATGTTCGAAATATGAGATCACTACAGCTGTGCGAATCCTAAATTGACAGTTTGGTCACTGGATATGTAACGTAGTGACGGATAACTTGTAGTGAATTTATGCTCCATTATAGTGTCAACGAACTTTATGTAATGTTTTGATATTGTCTTGTTGTGCCGACAACTTTTGAGAAATTTACGCTGATAATTTATGCAGTTTTCCTGCGACGTCGTATGTTTTACATTCTTGACACATTTTGGCACCTGCCTTCACATATCTCGTCGCCATGGTTTGTTTTCGTAATGTGACCAATCACAGCTTCCGCTGGTCACGTTTTCGCCACGGAGCTGGGGTTTTCGTTAGTTAGCCTGCATGATCTCGTAAGATCATCACGTATTGGATTGATTCACTTTTATAGCGATCTTCGCGATTTTTCATCCAGCAGCTACGGCGACATAGTGTAGCGTTTTCCGTTGGATTTTCACTAGTACACGCATGTGATTTCTTCACGACAACTGTTAATAGCGAACTGCTTGTTTTCTCTTCGCGACTCGACATCTCGTGACTTCAATTCTGACACTTATTTCACTTGGAATACGCGGTTTATTTACAACGCGCCAGTGGTTATTTTCGTGTACTTTCTTCCTGGGCTAGCATATTTTGATTTACGCTTGTGCTAGTCCGAGGTGTTTATATTTACGTTACTTCATTTTTGCCACAACTTTAGAAGAACGCGATCCGCTTCTCGTACTTTAACCGAGGCCTCCGGTTATTAGATAGCGTTTATATTACCAATTCTTGCCACAACTAGACTCCACTTCTTCAGTCTTCAGTCTAGTATTTTGTATATAGCCGTCGGGGACATTTACTACGAACACTCCCTCTGTTCCCCAACATTTAGGAGTGTCAATTTCTACAATTCTTCTTCAACGTGTTACACTCGACATTGTATATTGATCAACACACATCGCGATCGCCATTGTCATCTTCATACTACATATATATGATCACTCTCAAGTTTCTACACAACAAAAGACAGTGGTGAGTAAAAGTCTAGCTCGTACTCATTATAGTCAGCATAGAATTTTTACAAACTCTCCCGTTTGTCATGCTCAAAATAATATCACTAAGTTCTGTTTTTCTACCAAGTGCCTTCACACATGGGACATTATTCAAAATAAACTATAGAGAGTATATTCTTACAGGTCCTCTTAAAAGAAAATAATATGATAATCAGGATTTATAAGGCGCTTAATACAGAATACCGTGTCTAAGCGCTATCGGATTCATTCATGCACAATGTGCACCATCTACACTCCCTGTGGAGTATTCCTACCACAATGGTCATCGTGAGGGCATAGACAATTACTAACACAAATGCTTTCGTCATCCTACCGGATCCCAATTTCTGTCTAGGATATTGAGTTGCAAATGTAGATTAATGACATTTAAAGGACATTAAGTGCTATGTCAGGGATCGAACTACGATCTTTGAAATTCAAGTCAAATGCATCGAGAACGGTACAACGAATCGTCTTCTTTCTCTAATAATTTAATGAAACTTAAAAGCTTCCGCGCTTCGCGCTGGGAGTGGGTACCTTAATCCAGACCAGGATTAAGAGTCGAGAAATGTACAACGAATCGACTTCTTTCTCTAATGATTTAATGAATCGTAAAAGCTTCCTCGCTTCGCGCAGGGGGGATGGGGGGATGAATTTAGACTAGGATTAATGGTCGAGAACGGTACAACGGATCGTCTTCTTTCTCTAATGATTTAATGAAACGTAAAAGCTTCCTTGCTTCGCGCGGGAGGGGAAAAACTGTATTCAAACGAGGATTATTTTCGAGAACGGTACAACGAATCGTCTTCTTTCTCTAATAATTTAATGAAACTTAAAAGCTTCCGCGCTTCGCGCTGTAGGGGGTACCTTAATCAAGACGAGGATTAACAGTCGAGAACTGTACTTCGAATCGTCTTCTTTCTCTAATGATATAATGAATCGTAAAAGCTTCCGCGCTTGGCGCGGGAGGGGAAAAACTGAAGAAAATGCAATAAATTTTCAATAATTCATTACATTTTACCCCGCTTCCCAACATAACACAAATCCTCTGTGTGCCCATACCTTGAGCCATAATGCATGGCAGTCCAGAGGATTTTTTTTTATTTTGGAGACCGGGGTAACATGCAATAAATTATTGAAAATTTATTGCATTTTCTGTGTTTTTTTTATTTTATTTATGGAAACTGCCCCATACCCTAGCCCCCGCTGCGTACAGTCATCGTTCAGTGACAAAGCAATGGCCTCGTAGCTGTGAGGCCTCAGGATCAAAACCGTATCGATGTGCTATATTAGTGCCCTTTTGTGGGGCATTAATCCTCATTACTGTCATTTATGACTTAAGGGCGTAGGTCCCCTAGTAGATAAGCATAGTAGCATACACATGATTTAGCAGTCACTCAAAACACACATTGGCAAATTATTATTCAATAAAATCTGAGAATGTATACTATTATCTAGATCTATTATTTTTAAATTATTTTTAAAATAATTCCATAAATTGGGGTAAAACAAAAATATTCCAAATTTATGAGCGACAGTGTACATGCAGGTAAAACGCAGGTTAATTAGCACTTATTGCTAAAATAATTAGTGCATCCCGCTCGTTAGCAAACAGTTTTGTCTCTTACTGTTGTATATAGAATGGTTTATCCGTTGTGAAATTGGTCAAGATAAGTAAGCGTTTGTAGACACGCTACTGATAACATTTTACAAGCTTTATTTTCCGAAACACGTGTCTTTATCATCCATTCATAGCTCTCTTTTCATCGGGAAAATATGATATTTGATATTTTGCTGGATATCTGGTATGTACATTTGTATACGAATGCATGTTGTTTGTATGTAGACCTATTTTGTAATCATTCATAATTTGATTATAAAAATATAAAAAATCATGCTCAGGTCTGTTAGGGGAAAAAAGGCAAGGACTCATGTTATGTCTTGTCAAGTTTTTTTTTGCAATTTATGAAAGTGATTTAGGGATTATTAGTTTACCAGAAAAAAAGTTATTCAATGATTTAATATTAGAAACATCAAGGGGTTGAATCGTTTGAACACAAGCACACACAAATGAGTCAAAATTTAGAAAGAAGGTGACAGATTGTATCGTCAAATGTCAATTTCCAATTGGGCTTTATCATCAACTACGCGTAAATCATCAAGAAATTTGTAGGCTTATTGCTTTAATGTTAAATTTCTCACTTTATTTTGCTTATCTGTGTCATTTTCATCATCCACTTTCCTTAAGCCTTGTAATTGCTATGGAAAATGATTGGCAAATTTCGTTGAGAGGATTTGTAACACTTCCAAACTAATGAAATTCTAAATCATGTCAACCATTAATCATCTAGCTATACCATAACCAGAACAGCGTATGCATTCAGCCGCTTATTTTTGTTTGATTAAATTGAATTTAAAATGTCACACGAGTAAAAAGAGGAATGATGAATTTGAAGCTCCAGCTATCAAATTTGTAAACCTTCCAGAAAATGACAACAAAATATAAATTGTATTATAATGGTGATTTTTTTTCTGGTAGGAATTATTAACCTTTCTATCATTTCTCTTTTTCCCTCCTCGGGAATTTGAAAAAACTGCGTTATTTGTGTATGAAATGTTTATATTCCTTTTATTGTACCAACCCTCTACATGCAAACATCCTGAAAAAATTCTCAAACCTCAAAAATATTTATGGTTTTCTTTGAAGGCGTCACTGTGCAACACCCTCTTACTTAACAGTAAATTCCCCCAACCATTTTTTGATTTTTCCAACCGGTTTCCATAAAAATTAGGCATAAAACAGGCTTTTAAAC